CGAACGCTTTCAAGGAGCATTTGATGCTCCCGAGGGAGCAGATGTGCGATCCTCGCTCGGAGACTGTTCCGCCCAGCAGTGACCCTGAAGATGGCATCACTGCCGGCAGGGCGAGGACGCTGTCCGAAGGGGTCGAGGCGGGCAAGATTGGGTCGTGGGGCGACTTGTGGAAGTGTCTGTTCCCAGATGACAGGATAGTTCCTCGTCCAGGTAAGTCAAGCATGCTCTTCGGTGAGATAACCTCCGCTAACAAGCCTAGCCATCCTCCCCGCCATCGAGCTCCCACAAGTTGAACAAGAAGTCTTTACCAGCGCCAACATGTCCACCCTCAAAGCAAGCCTCGAAGAACGCCTCAAGTTCCTCGCCTCCCAATCAGCAAACAGCGACCTCTTGTCAGCACAGATCCCCGTCATCACGGGCTCCCTCTCCCTGGCCGTTGAAGCCCATCTCCGAAGTGTCTTCATCGCCTGCCGGACCCAGCCCCCGTCCCGAGTGGTCAATCGCTCCCGCTCCGCGTCCCAAACGCAGGATGCACCAAACAACCGCCCGCGTAAGCTCTCCACCGCGTCCTCCGCCGCCGGAGTCAGGAATCTTTTCGAGCCACCAGAAAATCATCGCCGCCCACCCCTCATCGAGACACGGAGCTTCACCCGTGACCCTGCCACCCGTCCACACATCCCTACCCAGCGCCGCAGCCTGAGCGAGGGCTCCCCCAAAGCCAAGCTCCCCCCTCGCACGACCAACCTCCCCATCCCCGCCACCCTCACGATACCCTTCCCGCGGATATCAGCACTGACGGAGCACTCCGACGCCGGCCCCGAGGGGAACACGTCCCCGAAGGGCACCTCCTCGGACGCGGAGTACTCCTCGGGCGTGGAGTCGAACCCCACCAGCGCAGGCGGCCTGCGCGACTCGAATAACACGGACATACGCTGCAGCAAATGCAACATGCGGCCGTCGCTGCGCCCGAATGAGGACGTCTTCTGCGACCCGCGGCTCAGTGCGGCCCCATCGACGCATACGGCGCCGCACACTACCGACTCGAGCTGCCGGTTCTCCGACTCGGGCATCGGCATCCTCTGCCGGAACTGCAGGATGCTCGAGGAGCTTATCAATTCGTACTCGCGGGCGTCGTTGCAGTCAGCGGACTCCTCACGGCCGCCAGCACACGGGACGACGGGGCCGGAGAGCAAAAGCCAGGAGGAAGTGGAGGAGGAGCCCTCAGCGAGGTTAGTAGCGCCATTCTCGTTCTCGCCGGACCTCTCGGTCTCCATCGACGAGAACGACGAGGAGACGCTGTTCGACCTGATGCTGGACTCATCAGCGGCGTACGTCGAAGGAGGAGGAGGGGGTGATGGGCAGCAGCAGCCGAAGACGCAGGCTCTCGTCTCCTCGCCCATGTTCCCTCCCCCGACGCAGGACCTGCCGCCGTCGCCGTATGGGAAGAAGTATGACCGGCACGGCGGGCATGACGGGGGTTTCTTTTGACTATTTCTGGAGTTTTTGGTGTTTTTGTGGGTGCCGCGGATGTTTTGGGTCAAATTGGGATGACGAAGCTGTCACGATGTATGAACAATTGGAGTTTCCTGGGGTTTCTTTACATGCAATCCCGTCCTGTATGAGCTGTTTAGCAAACAGAATCTCTTCATTTCATCTTCAAAGCCATCGCCACCATCTTTTGAAAATGTAAAGCAAAACAGTCAAACCGTGTAACTTGGTTGACTGTCCCATCGCGTCCGAGCCAAGCTGATCGATCACCCGATGCCACGCCACATCGAGGAATGCAGGCCAGACCATGTCCATTTTAGCCGCAAGCGTTCGTTCCGTGCTCCCCCCCGCCTTTTGGGGATCTGCATTGCACCCGCCAGCCCCGCACTCACTCTTAGTGCCCCTGTCGCCTGCTGTAGTTGATGCATGGGCTTCGTCAACAGCATCAGTCATGTTCAGTCAGTTCACTTGTGAAGACGAGTGAGATGAGATTTGTGAGATTGAAACGACCCAGCAAGTCGTTAAACAATGAATCCACCTTCATTGCCTCCGTTCCAAACACACAAGTCCAGAACACGAGCAGAATCAGCCAACATGCCCGTCCCAGGGGCTGGTGACGTCGCAGCTGCAAGGGTGCAGTGGATCGCCCCGACGCCCTACCGCGGATGTACGTCATTCTTACAGCGTCCAACTGCAGCTGCTGCAGGTGCTTCCAGCTGTGCTCGGACGAGGGAAACATGCCACCAGAGGAAGGACTAATAGCAGAAGGGGAACAGCTAGCTACCCGAGCTCCGATCTGATCCTCCCTTTCCAATAAATAACACCTCCTCTGTCACGAGCTTTCCCCTCCTTCATCGTTCGATCAATCCAACAAAACCCATTGAGCTCCGCGGAAGGCACAATGGCAGAACAAGACCGCTATCAATCCCATCTGGGAGTCAACACAGACAAGATCCCAACACCGAGCATGCCCGCCTCCTCGGGCGCCGAGCAGGATCGCTTCGGCGGCTGGTTCGGCGGCAACAAGGCAGACAAGGCCGCCGACGCCGTCAAGGACCATCTCCCCCGCGGCTCTGGTGCCGAGCAGGACCGCTACGCTGGCTGGTTCGGCGGCGACAAGCTGCCGTCCCTGGAGAAGCTGGGCGAGAAGCTGCCGCATGTCTCCGGAGCCGAGCAGGACCGCTACAATTCCCATTTTGGCGGCGACAGGCTCCCCTCCATGGAGAAGCTGGGCGAGCGGCTACCGCACGTCTCGGGTGCCGAGCAGGATCGGTACAACCGCTGGTTCGGCGGCGACAAGCTTCCCTCCATGGAGAAGCTTGGAGACCGTCTTCCCCATGTTTCTGGGGCCGAGCAGGACCGCTATGAGAGATGGTGGGGTGGCAAGGGAGAGCAGGTCGCGGACAAGGTTGAGAGGAACATGCCTAAGACCTCCGGCGCCGAGCAAGACCGCTTCGGGGGCTGGTTCGGAGGCGACAAGCTCCCATCCGCCTCCGAGGTGAAGAATGCCATACCTCAAGTCTCGGGCGCAGAGCAGGACCGCTTCGGAGGCCACTTCGGCGGCAAAGCCCCCTCCGCTGAGGGCATCTCCCGCCGTCTCCCTCGAGTATCCGGCGCGGAGCAAGACCGCTACGGCACGCACTTCAACCTGCACCCGAGCAACCCCGTCAACAGCGCCACCACGACAACCCTCGGCCTCCTCCAGAACGCCCTCCTCCCTTCCTTCGGGCTGCACGCTGGCCTGAGCACCGTCACCTACGCCGTCGCGCGGTACACCGATCGCGCCGACGCCAAGGACTTCCTCTGGCCGACGGGCCAGGTCGCCAACGCGTGGTGGACCGCCGTCGGCACCCGCGTCATCTACGACGGCCTCTCGCTGCCCTCGGCATGGGACTCGCTCGGCTACACGCAGAAGCTGCTCCTCACGGGTGTCAGCGCCTGGGGCGGCCGCCTGCTGTACCGCATCGCGACGCGCAGCGTCAAGCGCGGCCGCGACGACGACCGCTACGTGACGGCCAAGCAGCGGGACCCCAAGTTCTGGGACCGCGCGTTCTTCACCATGTTCCTGCCCGAGGCTGCCTTCCAAGCTCTGATTGCGCTGCCGTTCACACTGCCCTTCCAGGCGCCGCTGGCGAGCGCGCGCGCGTCGCTGATTACTGACTTCCCTGAGACGTTCCACAGCTTGGCCGTGTTCCTGTTTACTACTGGATTTGCACTTGAGACGCTTGCGGACACGCAGCTTGAGGCGCACTCGAGGAAGAGCAAGGAGTTGAACCGTGAGGGTGTTTGGAGCATTGTTCGCCACCCCAAGTAAGTGCCCCTTTTGTTTCTCATTATGTAAAATACAGGTGTTGACCTCATATAGCTACCTCGGCGACGCCCTCTGCCACCTCTCCTTCCCTGTCCTGCTCTACAGCGCCGGCATGCTCCACCCGCTGGCTGTGCTCGGCCCGATCTTCAACTACATCATCCTCCGCTACCTCGGCGGCGACAAGGAGAACGAGGCGAGCCAGGAGGAGCGGTACGCCAAGACGAGCCCCGTCAAGCTGCAGCAGCTGCGGGAGTACCGGGCCGAGAAGAACAGCTTCTGGCCGGCCGTCAAGGAGGCGAACAATAAGTGGGTGTGGATCGTCGCCGGTGCTGGTGTTGTTGGCGCCGCTGTCGAGAGAGGGCTCCTTGCGTACTTCAACTGAGTTGGATGTGCGGGATGAATTGTTGTTTGACTAGTGTAATGGAGTAAAAGGTTGTAAACATAGTAATTCAAATTGAGTCAAAACGAAAGCGACACTGGCATACTTCAATATAGTGAAACTTGAGTTCGGCAGGATGCTCGATCTACAGAGTTAGGTAAATCAGAATTCAATATGTGTCAATATCCAGGATGGCTCGCAGAAAGCAGTCAACAAGGTGTGCCCACAGGCGGTAACCTGCTGTGCGAAAGTTAAAAGGTTAGGAGAAAACCAAAAGACACTACAAACCTCCGGTGTGTGACCAATAACTGAGCGTCCCAATTCCATGCCTGTAGATGCAACACCAAAGCCAAGATGACATGGCAAATCAAGCTGTATAAATCCGGGATAATTCCATTAAATGCCACTAAACAAAGTCATCCATCCGCCGGGTCGCAACTGACAAATTGTCGATTGAGTATGGTATGACGTGACAAAAGCCAGCCATTCAGGGACTCAACCGGAAAGCACATGTAATCCTGTTGCTTGATGTGATGACACCCATATTCCAATCCGTCGCCATGAACCGAAAGTTCCAGCCCAGACTCTCTCCCTATGAAGCCATAAACCCGGGATAATCCAATAACGCTGACAGAAACATTCTCGCTCGGGCATTCGTCCTCCATCCAGCGACTCAACTGCCAAACAGACAATGCAAGACTGTTCCACGAGTCCTGTACTCAACTGACAACCAGAACGTGTAGTGCTGCTGCAGAGAGTGCCATGAAGTGAACCCCCTATTTCAATCCGTCGCAATGAACCCAAAGTTCCAACCCTCTGTCTTCAGATTCTCTCCCCCATGAAAAAGCGTAGTCCACTCTCGGGAAGACCCCAGAGAGACAACATGGCGAGGAGCAGAAGCCATAGCTCTCTAGAACTTCGGCTTGGTTTAAAGCTGCTTCCGTTTGGTTTGAAGGTGCTTGCCGCACTTTGCTCTTTTTTGTTCGTCCTTGGAGAGAGGGCGGTCGCCGGGGCCGTCTTGGAAATCGGGAGTCTTGCCCTTGGGATCCTTCTTGCCCTTGGGATCCTTATTGCCCTTGGGATCCTTCTTGCCCTTGGGATCCTTCTTGCCCTTGGGAGCTTTCTTGTCCTTAGGAGGGCCGCCGGCCTCGGCCTCAGCGTTTCGAACCGCAGCATCCTCCTCTTCCTCCCCCTCCTCCTCAACATCTCCCGCGTCCTCAACAGCAGCCGCAGCAGCAGCGGCAGCCTCGGGATCCTTCGCAGCGGCGGCCCTCGCCTCCGCGCTGTAGTCGTGCTCCAGCAACTCCTCGAAGTGCTCCGCAAGCGTCATGGCAGCGGCGCCGCCGCCCATCATGCCGCCCATCTTGCTAAAGTCGGGCCCGATGGCCTTGCACGCCCATTTGGTGTACCAGTCCTCGATGGGGAGCTCGGGGTGGCCCCACCAGCCCCAGCCGCCGCGGTCCTCGGGCACCATCGTGCCGTTGATGAGCTCGTCCTTGCCGGTGAGCCCGTTGGGGCAGCGCGCGTGGACGCCGCTAGATAGCATGCCGCAGCAGGCGCCGTCGCGGCCGCCGTCGCCGGTCTGTGGGAGGTGGTCAGACATGAGAGAGTGGAAGGGGAGGAAACGTGGCAGGGCTCACGCATTTGCCGAAGACGCAGGGGTAGTTGGCGCCCCTCACGTGGCAGGAGTTGCCGTTGCATCTCTGTGGGTTGTTAGTGCCGTTTTGTTCGCTCTTCTGGCTGTTGGGTTGCAGCGTGTGGCTTTTGATAGGACGTGACTAAAGGTAGACAGGCAAGCAGGGGGAGGAATGGATTCATGGGGAGGTAGATAGCTGTGTACAAACAAAGATGGAGAGGCAGTGAGAGACAGAAGAAGCCGGAAGCAGGAAAACGAAACGCGAATGAGCAAGAAAACGTAATCTCAACTTACGCCCTTCGACCCGATAGACTTGGGACAAATCGTCTTGCGAGCCTCGCGGTCCTCCTTCTGGCCCATATCTATTCCGCCTCTATAATATCCGTCTTCGCGGCCTTTGCTGCCCTTGCGGCCCTTGCCACCCTTGCCGCCCTTGCCGAGGGCGTCGACACCGGAGAGGATGGTGACGGCCGCGAGTAAGACGGTGGTGACCTTCATGATGAAGGTGTCCGGGTTGGTTTAAGGCTGTGTCGGGACCTAAAGGGTTAGTTGAAAGCAAAACCAAAAAGAGGAGAGAGGAGCGAAAGGTTGAGAGTGTTGTGTGCCTTTTTGTACGCGGGTATCGTGCCCCAGGGCATGTGGTGGTGGCTTTTTCATCACCTTGATTGTTTGTGGCTGTTGAATCCGTTGGGTATTGGACCTTGCGCTTTTGCGCCTTGGAGCGATATTCATACAATATCCGTATTTGGCTTTGAATGTGTGCATGCGCTTATACGAGAAGGTTTGTCACGGAATCTGCCCTTGGGCCAAGGTGGAAGGCTTGAAGCGAACGAGAGGGCTCCCGGAGGGTGTGCGAATAACCTCAAAATATTGATAACTGGATGCGTTCCTAAGGAAGTTTCAAGCCCATCCAGGAGGGGCTTTCCCAGGGGGGCAAAAGGCAGCAAAAGCACATCGGTCAGTGCCCAGTACAGTAGTATGACGGTATGGTTTGAGAACGATGAGCAGTACATTTGATTTGCTATGGTAACCTGTGATAGTCTCATTCCAATTTTGTCAAAGTTGAGATTCGCCGCAAGACTCCAACACTATTCTCTCTTGATGCAGTTCTCTAGTCTACCTGAGACGCTGTCTCTCTATTTTGTTTGGAATCATACAGAATTGAAGCACTACAGAACGGAGTAACGTTAAGAAACCGTTATCCACGTCCGGCTGGCACAAGCTTCGACCTTGCGTATCCCATGAACCTGTCGCCGCACATTTTCAAAGAACCGAGGCTTGCCGCAAGCAATATTCCACAGTAGAAACCTTCCCACAAATAAATCAGTTCTCACTATTGTTTGCCCGGGCGCCACCGGGGCACCTTCGTCGTCTCGCTCGTCGGCCGCCACACTGCCATGAGAGGTGGAACCCTCGTGGATCAATATCACGACAGCGACGATCAACAACCTCTTTCGTACAACTACCGGGGGGTCCTCCTTCGCACTGACGGCTGTGAATTATGGGGAGAGAGTGAAACTCACACCGCAAAATCTGCGTAGTATGTCCCGGACGCCCGCATCGACAAGTCGGACTCGCCCTGCGTCGGCCGACGATGTGAAGTCCTTTTGCTGCGTGGTTGCGACTCAGGAAAGTGGATGGCCGGCCTTTCCTTTCAGAAGGTTGAAGTCGGTATTTGGGCACCGAGATGAGTCCGACCGAGGTCCAGCAGGGTTTTAGGGATCTGGACTGATCGACAGTTGCAGCCAGGCATCCATCCATGGTTTGTTGTCCACTGATTCACGTTGGGATCGATGTGAATCCTCTTCGGAGGAGGATGCAATGCTTGCTTAGGTAGATTGATTTACTGTTTGGAATCACGGTTCAAATAGAAGTTCGATTTAAAATAGCACTGCAAATATTGCTAGAGGGATCACGACGGGCAACTTCTCTATCACATCGGATGGCAGTGCATGGAGTCAAAATGTCGCCACCACCTCAAGTCCAGCACAAAAGAGTCCGAATCAGGCCCAACTCTCCACGAATGGCAACAAGACAAGCCGGATGCGGAAGTGCTACACCAAGACTTCTACGACGAAAGTCCCATTTCGGAGTGTTTTCACGGCCTGCAGTAAGCTTATGGGGACACCGCAACTGGATCCTTCCTTTGGCGGGGCACAAACAGCTGAGCCTTGGTGATGTTGCAATACTAGCAAAAGGACATGGCAGTTGGGTTCCCCGGGGCCTGCCAATGAAGAATGGTTGGTGCCCGTTTAGCGGTGGATCGTAGGATCGAATGCCGGCAGCCCTACGACGATCTTCGCTGAAAAGCGCTAAGCCTGACCAAAATCCTTCCGAACGGGACGAGCCTTCCGACTTGTTGTGGAGGTGACGATGGGAATTCGGACTGAGCTTTTGACGATAGACCCTGTAGACCTCAACTTGTTAGTCCAATGCATTGTCTGACGGAAGGATGGGGCCTGAGCTACAACTGTGAGGCCGAGACTAGGTGGCCCTCTGTGACCAATCAAGTCTATCTGAGAAGGCAACACCGGCTCGAGTACCTGTCAAACATGGAGTTCATTTTCAGAGAATCGTACCATTAACGCTGACCTGTTCTCACAAGATCGACAGTCACAGTCAGCCCTGAGGCACATCAAGCGAGTCTGACAATAGACAGATCCACAATAGAAACAGAGGCCGGGCACTTGTACACGCAGCAGTGCGACTGGAGAGACTGGTGGAGAACAGACTTACACGGCTCGGCCACAAGATGATGATGGGTCTGATGCGAATAACGCCTGCTGACAACTTGCTTGAAAACTATATAAACTACTGAATACTCCGTATGCCATGCAGTATTCTCACCCAAATCTCATCATCATAATCGCAGCTTCATTCAATCCAAAGCTCCCAACACACAATTACCCAAGCAACAACATCTTCTCAACTCAGTAAAATGCAGTTCTCTACCATCTTCGCCATCGCTTCTGCGCTCACCCTCGTTGCCGCCGCTCCTACTGCGGCCCCCGAGTCTTCACCTGCGGCGGCAACTCCTGCCCAGCTGTTCAAGCGCAAGGAGTGCCCTAGCAACTACGCTTCCAAGGGTGTATGTGGTCCTCCCAACTCACGATGCTCTCGTTAGAATGTGAGACTGACTGATGCCAAAATAGGTTTGCAACGGAACCAGCTGCATGTGGGGCCTGGTCAACTACGACTGTGGTGTCGGTTCTTGCGTAAGTCTTCACGTCTTCGCCTTTCACTGATGATTACTCCAGTACGGAAATCGGGTTGCTGACCTGGGGCTTAATAGGTTGGTGCCGGAGCTGGCGACGGATCTTGCTGCGGCTGGCCCAGTGATGGTGGCGTTGCTTACTGCCCCAACGGAGGATTTTAAGCAGCATGTCACTGAAGATACTGGGGGGATATGTCTTGTCGTAGGATATGAGGAAACGAGTATGACCAGCATGATATGACCGGCAGATTTAGGTGCATCTAGTCACGATCTTTACACGATTCCATGAAATAAACACATTCATTTGGCGCGACTACACCACTTCTGTGTCAAAGTTCATCTCGATAGCTGGTGGTTTGAGAGAAGGTCGAGAGCCTACTATCTTGGTGACGCTGTCTAGGATAGCAGCGAAACTTAAGTCGAATAAGACACTTGAAGACGTTGCCCTCGGATAAAAGTTACCGGACAAGGAAATGGTGCGTGCCCAAAGTTTAGAGGCATTAACGTGAATAATTGCCAAGGACGATCGGGAATGCCCACAACACCCATAGCCAGATCAAAAAATTGACTATTAGACGATTTAAGACTTGGCACAATTGAATAATGATTGGTCTGTGGCGAGACATCGTGGCTGAATCGAGCATGAAATTGTCTTGTTATTCGCTCTAGTTAGGGGGTAAACTGACCAGAGGGGGAGGGGGCTTACTTGACCATACTAGCCTAACTAGGTAAGAGGCCTACTTTATAAAAATTACTTAGCTAGTTAGGTTATCTTACCCCTCTAGTTAAATAATAACCTAGAATACTAGAGTTTCCCTCCTATACCTCTAATACTATAAATCGTATAAGTCTATTATAATTACTCCCTAATTAATTCTAAATTATTCCTATTTAATATAACTATTTTTTAAATCTTCTTTATTTCTCTTAGGTTTATTATTATTATCCTTAATATTAAGAATAAAGTAATTAAAAACCTAGTAGTTATATAGTAGTATTAAAAATCTAAAAATATTTAAATCTAATTCTAAATAAAATCTATTCTAGAAGTAATTTAAGAATAATTCTAAATCTATTTTAAATTAAAAAGGATTATTTACTTATTAAAATACTATTAATCTTAGTTTTAATAGAACTAAATACTTAAAGTTACTTTTAAATTAATAATATAGTATTAATAACTACTTTAGAATTAATTTAGATTTTTAGATTTCCTCTATACCTAAATATAA